GTGTGTCCATGCAGGCTTGCAGTGGAAAGTAACCCCTGTGCCCTGGAGTGATTGTCGGAGTGTTGGTCTGCGTGGGAAGCCGTGGTTTTGACTCTGTAACGGACCTGGCTTTGCAGGGTTTGGAAAACTCTTCTGTATTAGTATGTTTTTAAACTTGAGTTAAAGTTACAGTACACACATCATACATTTCTCAGCCTGAATACCCTTTTAAAGAGAGTATTGTGTCTTCGTACTAATCCTGTGACTGCCTTCAGCAGAGACAACGTAGCTAAAGAAAGAATTAATCAACTAGTTAACTGTTCAGCTTTGAGAAAGCTGCTGCTGAATAACATAAAGGATTGTGGCAAGGACTGAAAAGGGAGTGAAGTAGAAGTAAAGCGTGATCTGAGAAAGAAAAAATACACTCTTGTTTATAAACACTATTAATGTTGAATTAAATTTCAGTTTAAAACTACAGGGAGCTTTGAGTTGGTTTTGTAGTCTTGATAGGGTATAGATAAATAAATAAAAATCTGCTGGGCATTTGCACAGTTTGGTCTTCAGGAAGATCAGTAAACAAATATTAATTTCCTTTCAGAGATAGAAACCTGAATTGTAAAGACTGTTTTTGGGGTGATCAGGGTAAAGACAACTTTAATTCTTAGTAAAATCTTCATAATTCATAGTAATATTCTGGTTAATTCTTAGTAAGATCTTGATAAAAACACATGACTCAGAGGAAATGAATATTCCATTTCCACTGACTCGAGGGACTCTGGGCAATTAAGTTACTCCTTGTGTGCCTTGGATTTCCCCTACCTTTAAAATAGGGTTAATGTAAGGTGTGCATTTCAGGATGCGATGGGAAAGGCAGGAAAGGCAGCGTGAATGAAGGCGGGCAGGAGTTGTGAGTATGATTTACAGCCTGTAAAATACCTTGAGGCTTTCCGAGGCAAGAAACTTCACAAATGCAGAGTTCCAGTACTACTGTTGAGGGTTATAAATTCTAAACAAATGGTGTATGTAGTTGGGATTAAAGTTTTGATTTGCAGTGTCTTACTGATACTAAAGATGAGATCTTAATATGTCTTTTAAGAGAGACATTTTGTTTACAAATTCAGGTTATGACTTGACAAAAAAAATCTGATGGAAATATGGTTCTTCAAATACGGGGGTGTTGTCAGTTTGAGGAGAGCTTTCCAATGTTATTCTAGACTGAAAACAAAAGCTCTTCTTCATAGAGCAAAAAAATATTGTTACCTGATTTTGTCAGATCACAGAGAGTAAAATTTCAAGTTACTGTTTATTGAAAAGTGTCAGGAAATGCTGAAGGAAAGGCAGTCTGATTCCCTCCTCTCCATTCTTCCCAAAACGGTGAAGACGTGTTGTTTCTTGAGATGGAATATTTCAGGTGCTATATACCTTTCCAGTGGGGAAGAATGAGTGCAGGCTGTAGTTCTTAGTCTGGCAGCAGCATTGTTCATTCAGAAAATTCCCCCCACATAGGGGTAAAACATTTCTTTCTGTATGAGAGAGAACTCCAGAATAGATTAGTAACTGGCATGTATCTTGATCTGAAAACTGAGACATGGTTTTCACATAAGAGGTTTATTAAAATTTTGGAAAGAATTGGGGGTATGTGCATGACTTAAGTATGCTGTCCTGCAGGAGCTAAGGGGAAGCTTCTGTATCTCTCCGTATGAAGTCTGCCTCCTAAGTGCACCCTCAAAATTAATGACACTTGTTTCATCACAAAGATTGGTTTAAAACATTTCATGTGTATTTTTCCTTCCCCAAGCTGAAGAAAGGGACCCAAAAATGAAGCGCATCTTTTATTTCAGATTGTTAGAAAATTTTATTAATACTTTTCATTTTAATATCCTGGGGACACATCTGCTGCTGTCCTAGAGATGCTGCTTCTCCAGTGACTACAAATGACCTAAAGCTTTTTTTTTTTTTTAAACATGTGTCATAGCAGGATCCGTGTTTTATAACACGGGCAAAAGTGCCTTATACTAAGCGACAGTATTTTGCAGAGCAATAACTGATCCTGTTATTAAGTCATGTCCAGAATCTGGCCCTAAGTGAGAACTGGCAGCGGTGCCGAATGAATGATTTGCTTTCTGGAAAATAGCTTTCCTATATAATCTCTGGGAAAATTTTACGGAAGAAAAAAAACCTGACTTTATAACTTGATGGAAGACTTACTCGCAATATAAAATTTGGTTTCGTGGTTTGACAGTTGTGTTTGAATTATTTCATCAAGGTCACTTTTCTTTCTCCCGGTGAAATTCATTGCTGACACAGTAGATGGGCATATCTCCAGCAGACTCAGAACAATCTGTAACAGCAGTGAATCCAGCACATGGAGTAGCACTGAAATGGCCTCACTTGTGTTGTAGGTAGAGCATAACAAGAACTAAAAATAGAAATTAACAATGGTGAATTTGTTTTTATTTTGAATTAGGCTTTGTTCTCATCTGACTTAATTATTAGTTTAATTTACTGGATAAATTATTTAGTCTTGACTAACATTGACTTAGAAGTCTTTGAACACAGTGTATTGATCTTTTCTGAACTCACGCTCCCCCTCTTGCTTCTTGTTTTAGATGTATCAGACTAGATCAAATTTCTGGTTCTCTTTTCTACTTACAGACGTTTATTTTTCAGTTGAACAACTGAAAGAATGAACCCCTTTGTGTTCAAGAAAAGAATCAGACTGGTTTTTTAAGTCTTCAGCCCTTTCTAAAATTGGTAGAGCAGACTCTTATGACAAGGCACATGCACAGGAGGAAATCTTCATGTAACGTATTGCGTTGCTCTGTTTTCCCTAAAATGCCCCTGGAAGCAGGGTAGGTTTTCTGGTAACTCTCACCCAGTGCAAGACTGCCTTCGTGAACCGGGATTGTTAGGAGTGTCAGATGTTACTGAATGTTGGAACTTGTTTTGGGGGGAAGAAGAAATGTTTATTCCATTCAAACTTGTTTTACCTGGCATGAACGTTGCTGTTGGAATTCATCTCAAGTACAGTACTGCTACTCCTATGTGGCTGATGTTTTTCAAGGAAATCATAGCCCTAAAAATAGTCTGCATAAACAACAGTAAGAGGTTTGTACTTTCAGTTCCAGGTTTTAGCAATATCTTGTTGTTATTTTCTAATTGTCAGTTTCCAAAATCCATTAAGCTGGTTAGCAGAGTGTTTAAAAACAAAACAAAAACCCCCAAACAAAAAATCCACCTCCTGTGGACCCTGGCATAGAATGCTATGCTTAGATAAATTCAGTGCAGGAAGGCTGGGTCGCTGTAGTGGTCACCTTTGTATCTTTATGAACATGTTACATTCTGAACATTTTTCAAGCATTGTCCAACTTGTGAAATTGCCACATGATTCTGAAACTTGGTGGTAGGAGAGAATATAATTTGGAAACACTCGTACTAGTTGGAATTCATTATTGTTGTATGTACTTAACGTCCTCTGTGTACTGAACAGAGCTTTACTTATTTTCCTTTGGATTAAAAAAAGAAAAATAAAATTAACAGCCTGGAAGAGATGAGGAAAAAATCCAGCTTGAAATTGCAGAACACAATTTGTCATCAATTTTATCCTTGTGTTTCTGTCTCCACATCACCTTTCATGAAGGAAATTGATCCTTATGTCTTATGCTTTTAGTGGCATGTTTACTAGGATACATTTTGATGTGTTTAAAATTCTGTAATTCAGACTAAACAAAAATTACATTTCATTTGTCTCTGAAACAAGATGGTCATCTAGTTGTTGGTGAAAAGGGCATTACAGTTATTGTTCCTCCTTCCCATGCTCTTCATTAGGTGTTGTAGAAAGTCAGTTGGGAAGCAGAGGCTGAAACTGAGGGCTAAGACCCCTTTTGATTTTAATGGGAGTTGGGTTTCTGATTTGTGAGTCTGAGACATGTCTAACTTTCCCCCCCCTTTAAATTGTTGCCTGCAACTGTAGTTAAGGCACTTTCCACTTACCTTCCTATACGTATCGTAAGGGAAAAGTCACCTTTTCTTTGTGATTGTTGCTTCATAAAGAAAATAATTCATTCAAGGAGTTTAAAGGGGAAATTAAAGTATATTGGTTTCAAGACTGATTAATCATCAGTGTTACGGGTAGAGTTAACTACAGAAGTATTGCTAGATCTCCTACTAACACTGAAATGGAAGGTGTCTGAGCAGAGTGCAGCCCCGCTGCGTGCCTGCTGTTGGACAGTGTGGTTGGGGGTGCGAATAACATGAAATCTGCATCCTGCAGCTGCTGGTTTGCTATGTTTTAGAGTCTTGTATTAACACTACAATAAAACAGTGACCAAATCAGTTCCTTGGGATTTTTGCTTTTGAGTTGAAGTGCAAGATAATTAGGAGGTTACAGTTAATTGGTAAAAACATGTTAAAGACTCCAAGATATCCTCTGTAGGTAATACCTAACGCGTTTAGATAAAATAAATCCTTTCATACCTGTTTGGCTTGCTGTGGCTACTTCTCCAGAAGGTAAACTGAAAAAATGGTACCAACAATTGGCAGAAAAATCGGTATTTCTTCTCACTTAACTGAACTTGTAACTGGTTTAGGGATTTCATTTATTAAAAGAATTATAGTGACGATCCATTTTTTAAAAATACTCATCTTACTTTCAGGAAAATTACACATAGGCAATTTATTTGAGTTATTGCTTTAGTGTTAGCAGTAGCAGATGATATTGTACAATTTCTATGAATAAATTGCCTAAATAAAACTGCTTGTGTGTTAGTTAACGGAGGGAGCGGAGTGGGAGGGGGTTGGAATGAGCTTACCGGAGCTGATTAATAACGCTGCGGATCGGGCCCCCTGCTGGGGGGCGCTGGGAAATGCACGTTTGAAACACCCCCGTGCGGATGCTGAGCCATTTCAGTGTATTTAGCATATAACAAACCTTCTCTGGGAACCTGTCAGTTATTAAAGCGTTAGGTAGTTTGTTTAATTTGAGAATGAAAAGTTAATCTTTTTTCTTTCCTTTCCCCAGTTTTCTAGACAAGATTGACATAGTCAAGCAAAACGAGTACACGCCATCTGACCAGGTACGGGAAGTTGCATTAAGAAATTACACAGTTTATCTGCCCCCTCAGTCTTTGCGGATAACTATCTCATTAATTTCTAATTGCCATTGTGACACTAACACAGGTATTGCCAGGTACTGTACATATTTAGTATTCCAGTAAAAATTACCTTGTCATTGGATTGAGACTATGTTTATACATGTAAATGTACTGTGACATGAAAATCTGCCTGGGTTCTAGACTTACATCGTGCTTCTGTGACCCTGCAACTCAAATACCCACTTGAATTAGTAATTTATAATGTTTTGCCCTCCTTGCTGAATAACTGTCATCTACTTCTTTGATGCAGAGTTGGTTGGTATCTTCTCGGCCCCACTGGCTCCCACTGCAAACCAGATTTGCTAAAAATAACCTTAGATGATTTTAATTTTTTGTCAGAATAGGAATTGTAGTTTCCATTTTGTTACAGATAATCTGAGGATCTTTTAAGGACCAAATCCCATATCCAAAATCACATGTATATTCCCAACTTCCTGCCCATAAAGAGTGCAGCTAAGCGTCTAGTGGACTTCTGTAGGATAAATAATCGAAAAACATGTTAATGTCCCAAAACTTTTGCACACAGTATTGATGAAGAGAGAGCAGTTTATATCCTTTAAAGTTGGTCAAGAATAGATTAATCATTCATCCTTTTAAAAATATGAGGAGTTTTATAAATGAGGCTGCTTTATCACTGAAATAATTCTATTTTCAAGAAACAAAATACTAAAAATATAGGTTATCATATTTAAAATTTGGAGCAACTAATTTTCGGATATGAAACTTAAAAACAAGTATCAGTTTTATACTGGAAGCTAAGGGTGTCAGGAGTTTAACTTATATTTACTTAGTATGCAGTACTAAGTATAGTACTTAAAATTACTTGTAGTAATTACTTAAATAAGGGGAGTATTTAAGTAGTTACTTAACTAAAATCATTACATACTCTTACTTCTGTAAGTAACAGTAAGCACAAGTACTTCTGGTGCTTGTTTGGGACCATCATGTTTGTCTTGATTTCTAGAGGTGCAGAGCTCCAGAGGGTCCAGTTTTCCAGATTTGCTTCTGTTTATTGGGACATTCGAATTTTCAAACTGTTTCAAACACAAGTTGGAACAGTGTCTAAATATATCCATATTTCAATCTGAGTATTAAAATAGCCGGACAGCAATAATTTACTGTCAGAAAAACTGATGTTAAAATGTAGCCATTTTGTTTAATGATTTAACAGTGTTGTCTAACCTTTGGATTTTGTGTGGTTTTGACTTTGACTAACCAGTTTGGTACCTGTGTAGTAAGAACAGAGCTTTTATTGTGCATGCACCTTTTTTTTTTTTTTTTACAGCGTGTTCCGCTTACATGATCTTGTCTGCTGCAAATGTTACTGTTCATCTGCTACTTAGACCCATTGTGAAGAACATGAAAAAGTCCTAAATTATAAAACCTTTAGTTCAATTCCAAGTAGTCTTTTGTAGGTAGTTATATTTGGACAGTGTATTGAGTCTGCAGCCTGTGCAAATCAGGTTCTTGTAGTTCCCCACCACACCCTGTCCATGGCTGTCACTGTTCTGCAGTACACAATAAATAAAAGCCCCTATGGTTTGGTTTGAATAGAATCTCAATAGTTTGTAGCTCACAAATTCTGATTATCAGTTTTTTCTCTATAAGAAATCTCAAATTTTGTCTTTGAAAAGCACAACTTTTACGAGATTTAAGTGCTTGAGCTCCCAGTGCTTTGAAGGAAAAAATGGAAAATTCTGAGACCTGGACACTTAATAGCCAAGCAGTGAACAGCTGCGGGAGGGAGGCCTGTCTTCTGCGGCTGGAGCTGTTGGGTGGTAGTTTAAAGACCCTGTTGTGTGCCACAGTCCCGTGAAATCTGTGAATGCATCATCAAATCTCGAGGGATGGGTTTCTGCTCTTCTGAACACTTGCATTTGCTTTAAGTGACCTGTAAATGTTTCCTTCTGTTCCAAGCTTGGCACTTCCCACCTGCTTGTGAAACTATATGTGCTTTCAAAGTTGAGCACACCCATACGTGTGCACATGTTTTCAAGATCAAGATCTTAAATGCAGCTTCATAATGCTCTATTCCCTGTTTTTGCAGTACGGCATACACTGTCAGCACTGCGTAGAAGGTTTTAATTTCTGTTGCTGGATATATGAAGAATTACGAAGTATCTGTGCTGAATCAATGACTTTTCCTTTATGCTCTAGGATCTTCTCAGATGCAGAGTTTTGACATCAGGAATTTTTGAAACCAAATTTCAGGTGGACAAAGTAAATTTTCAGTAAGCATCCTTATTTTTTTTTGCTTCTTGCTTTTTTTTAATACAATGCAGACCAATACCAGGCTAAACTGGAGGACAGAACTAACATATGGTCACCGAGACTACTGTATTTTTCAAGTTGATGTTTAATAGAAAGCAAGTATTTTACAGTTTTTTAATTTAGCAGTCTGGGTTTAAAAAGAAATGCAAATTGAGTGTGCAATTTTCTGCTTTCATTTTAAATCACAAAGAACAAAATGTTTTACATGTATTTTTGCTTCTGAGTATTTGATTCATTGCTAGTTCATATTATGAAATATTTGAACAAAAACTTTGTACATATCTAAGTAACAGAAAATGCATGTTCTCTTTATTGTCCCAGGTTAGAAAGATTGCTCGACCCAAAGAAAAGTTTAGTCTTGTCTTGTTGACTTTAGATCTGTGATACTTGTTTCAGCAAATGACTTGTTGTAGGACCTTTTTAAATGTCTTAGCTTGTAAGGGTGAAAATGAATCTGCAATGTACGTACGCCAGAATTTCTTACCTTCAACTACAGGTGTCAGTGAAAAGTAAACATAGTGATATTCTGTGATGTGTATGTTGGTGAATTGTTACCTGTTCAGGCTCTCGTTATCCTCAATTCCTTTTAGTTTCTATGACATGGAAGTCCTAAAATTTCTTACATTTTCTGTTTAGATTTAGGGAAGAAAAACCCCAAACAAAGCATATTTTGACTTGATTTATGTTTTTCTCTTAGTATGTTTGATGTTGGAGGGCAACGAGATGAACGCCGAAAATGGATCCAGTGTTTTAATGGTATGATTAGCATTTGTGTTTGTTCTATAAAATTTTAATGACCAATCTTAATTTTCTCACTGTGTGAAACCCATCTTCTTTTCCATGTAGCTTGACAAGGAATTATCTGAACAGTCATACTGGATGGAATTTTTCTTGACATGTAAACTTCTGTAACTGCACAGAATGACTTTAGGGGGAATGTAGGTAGAAAGGAATTAAAGTTTGATGACTTCACATAGCTTGTCCATTTTCTTTGGTTTCCCTCTCTTCATTGCATCAGGCTTTTTTGGCGGTGGGTTTGCGCTATGTGAGTGTTAAACTCGAAGCTCTGCTCTGTCTTTCAAGTGAAGGTTTACATGTGTTTATACATATACAGAATACACAATTACAGTATGATTAATATATGCATAAAATCAGAATATTGTTGTTTTGTGCATAATTGCAGCCACATGGCTGTGTCTTGGGTGCTTCTTTCCGAATTAGCACCGACCGATTAATGCAGTATGAGATTGTAGGGAACATGTCTTGTTAGACATGGTGCTGCGTACGGTATGTAATAAGCTACAGCATTGTATAGTGTAGCCCCAAAATGCCCTTGTCAAAAAAATCTATGATGGAGTTTCTAAATCTGCACTTTTCTAGGTAGCCATGCATATTAATATATTTTCTTGGAAGACAGCCCTAAGGGGAACGCCCTTATGCTGAAAACACATCAACAAATACCTTCATTTAAGTAACATGCATGTAAGCTGGATTCCTTAGAATGCTAAGATAGCCCCAACCTAGGTACGGGTAAGCCCTGAAACGTCTGCAGGCATTTGGTAGGGTCTGGAGTCTTAACACTGATGTCCCAGGCAGTTTAGTGTAGGAACTCCCATACAGTTTAAGTTGGGTGGGTTTGTGTTTATCCTGAAGCATTTCGTGTACCTTCACTACAGCTGTTTATTTTACTCTAAATCTGTTCAGATGTGAAACCTGTCTCCACACAGGTTTTCTTAAAGCTAGAGTTGGCGAAAATATTTTTTCCCTTTTCTTTCTCATTTGGACAAAATATTTATGAAGCTAGGCAAAAGTCTATCTTTTTTGTAGAAAAGTTCTGATGAGATCGTACAGAACAGATAAGGTAGAATGCAACTTCATTGTATTGTTTTCGTTGTATTTTGCTGCAGTTACTGTCATAGAGGATCACCTGAATGCTTTCTGTCTGTGTGGAACTCTGTGTAATATTTTCTTCCGTGCTATTAATAAGATTTGTCTGGGTTTTACCTCTTCTCCTTCCTCTTCCTGTTACCGCACGATCTGACTCATCTCTTGTGCTGTTGATGTCTGAGGCAGATGCGCTGGGAAGTCAGTGTGAGGGTCTGGAGCAGCACAGCCACACAGAAACACAGAGATCTGGATTCTGTGGTCCTGGGAATATCTCCCAGGAAAGAGATCGGGGCCTCTAAGCAGTATAGTGCGCTATGGGAGGACTAGAACAATTAACCATGGTTCATAGCAATCTACCGTTTTTACTATTACCATTCACGCAGGTCAGAAGTGCAGTTTGTCTTGAGGTCTTCCCCCAGGGGCCTCCCTGTCCTTTCTTGATAGCTCAGGGTTGCTTTCTAATTTCTTTACGCCTTTTAAAACTTAGTTCAATTCTCCTGTTAGCTTTCTTCAGTTTGTCTCATTTCGGTTCCTTTCTTTTCTACATTTTCTGTCATTCTGTCAGCTTCTGTTCTGTGGCCTGCCTTTCTATCTTTAATGGTTCCTTCACTTTGTTTTTTTTATTTCTGGTACCTGTAAAGCTTTCAGCAATAGCATCCCAGCCTGTTCACTTCATGAAGCTGAAAATCTGGCAGCTTTTTATTGAACTTTGGGATTCCTAGATATATCTTCCGAAGTTCAGCATTAACTGATGGGTGTTTCTTGATTTAGATGTGACTGCTATCATATTTGTGGTGGCGAGCAGTAGCTACAACATGGTTATACGAGAGGACAATCAGACCAATCGGCTTCAAGAAGCACTAAACCTCTTCAAGAGTATCTGGAACAACAGGTCTGTGAATTGAAGTTTCATTGTTCATATCACACTAATTTGTAATCTTGTCGTACACGATAGTCAAGACTTGTATGCTGGGCTTGGCTAGGATAGAGTTACTTTTCTTCACAGTAGTTCATATGGTGCCACTGTAGGTTTTTGACTGAAATACTGATAACGCACTGCTCTGCCCCTGCAGTGCGCAGTAGGTTGGGAGGGGACACAACCAGGCAGATGACCCAAACTAGCCAGAGATGTCCCATACCACGGTAACATCGTGTGCAGCAATAACAGGCAAAAGAGGGGAGGTTAGGAGGGTTAGCTGTCTTCTGCTAGGCATCAGTCTACCCACGGGAGGTGTGAGTGGTTGCCTTTGCATCACTTATTTTGTTTTCTTCTTTATCCTTCACTGATTAAACTTTTCTTTTTTTTTGACCACCAAATTTTCTTGCTTTTATTCTTCCTTTAGTCTTCCCCATCCCACGGAGGGGGAACATGAGCGAGTGGCCGTGTGGTGCTTCGCTGCTCAGCCAGGTTAACCCACACCAGCAGTGTAGCCAGTGTTATTTGCTTCTCACAGTGCAGTCCAAGCTAGTCTGCCTGTTACACTAGTGTCCAAGACGCTCATCTAATTGAAGAAAGCTCTGGAGAGTTACAAATTGGTAGTTGCCATATTGAGGCTGTAGTAATTAAAGCAGTGATAGAGTAGTACATGAAAAAGTAGATGTGCTGTATGAACCTAGCTGTGCCTTCGGTTTCAATTTTCTACAGGTGGCTACGGACCATTTCAGTAATTCTTTTCCTGAATAAACAAGATTTGCTAGCAGAGAAAGTTTTGGCAGGGAAATCTAAAATTGAAGACTACTTTCCAGAATTCGCTCGCTACACTACACCAGATGATGGTAAGATTTTAAAGTTTTATTAGCAATTTATCCATTTCCTTGTTAACCACATTTGTAATGTTTTCGGTAATTTGAGCCAAGACTTAAAAACTCCTAAGTAGATGTAATCCTCATTCTTTCAGCCAAAATAATAAATGTAATAAATATATCCATTTATCATAATAGTTCATCTGTGACCTCACTAGTGTTATGCCTAAGCAATGCAGCGTGAGACTCAGTAGTCACAAATATGTCCTCTGGACTCCCCCTTGTCATATGTGTGGTCATCTCTCTAACCTGCCAAATGTCCAGTACTGTGGCCACTGTAATATTCCTTTGTTCTCCTGAAATCTGCTGTTTTAAATAATATGTTATTGTGGATCTTATCCATAGTCAGTTTTGCAAAGTGTGTTTCTATCATATGTGAGCAGAAGACAGAACAAGTTACAATTTTTAGGTGCTATCACCAAAACCCATCTGTTTTAATGAGATACTTATTCTGTTATTAATCAGCAACACCAGAGCCTGGTGAGGATCCCAGAGTTACAAGGGCCAAGTATTTTATTAGAGACGAGTTTCTTGTAAGTATTTCCTTCTTTCAGTATTTCTTACATGATTTATTTTCAAATATAAGTTCCCGCGCACCTTATACTGTTGCAAAATGCTCTTGCTTCTTGTGTTGTTTATGTTTAACATCCACACTGCATAAACCATTGTTACATTTAAGAGCTTTACTGCTGTTCGTTAGCTGCTCTTTGGATATTTGTTTGTTGACACTGTGCATAATTAAATAGCAAAAGAATTGGTGAGAATTAAGAAACCTCAGATAGCGTGATGAGTGAAGTCCTGCTGTTATTATAGGGCCAGGTTTTTATTCCATCTAAAGATAAAGACTAATCTAAAGATGCATCATCTGTAAAATATTAATATTCTTTTCGTAGTGTCTTTCCCATTAATGGTCAGATGGAGCTATAATAGACATAGGGTTTTTTAAATATTATTACAAGTACTTGTATGGTGAGCACGACGATCAGATTGTGGACTCATTTTACAATGGAGCAACATAAAATTTTGCTTTCTGTAAGTGTAAAGCAGGGTTAAAAGCCTTGTACAAGGAGGCAAAATCCCACTTTCTTCATGGACAAATTGACTAGGAGTTGTGTGGCTAAATTCACCAAAGCTGCATATAAATAATAACACTTTCTTGAGTTCCCGTTCAATTCTGAAATTCCCCAGTACGCAATGACCTTCTCACCGTATAATTCAGATAAATTTAAATTTCATGTTTTAGGTGAAGAGACTGAAAAATTGTGGGCATTTTGCCACACACCCTTTGAAACCACAGCTCACACGTACATATCTTAACTTTCATTCGTCTGAGTTTGGAGAACATTGGTTTTTTTCCTCAGTCAGTTTTATTTTAACCCAGTATCTCTCTCTTACTTCTGACAGAGAATCAGCACAGCAAGTGGAGATGGAAGGCACTATTGCTATCCTCACTTCACATGTGCAGTGGATACAGAGAACATCCGGAGGGTTTTCAATGACTGTCGGGACATTATTCAGCGCATGCACCTTCGCCAATACGAGTTGTTGTGATGGAGAGCACTTTTTTCTGTGTTTTGGACTCCTTATTCCTTATTAAAAAAAGAAAAAAAAAAACACCCTTGCCCACATAGGGTGGAAGAGAACTGTTTGAATCTCCCATTGATTTGCACCCCTCAACTTTTTCTCCTTGCTGGACAATAGCAGCACTTCTAAGCTTGCTTCTGTACCCCTCGGACAGTTTGAGATGGCCCCTAACACTTAAAAGGCCATTTCCATGAGGATTCCCTAACACTGTTATTAACAAAAAAGAAAAAAAAAAAAAAAGAAATAAAAACTAATTAATTAAAAGCCCTGAATGTGGAGCACCTGAAAGAATTGGGGATGAAAATTCAAAAGATAAAACAAAAATTGGGGAGAGAAAACAATAGGTAATTTAGCACTGTTGTGGGCATAATCATATAACCCGTGATCTCCACTTTGTATCATTCACTGCATCAGACTAAAGAAGGTGCCAAGTCACAGACCAAGTTTGAAGACAGACACTTGAGTTTGGTTCTCTGACTGTAATGTGGCTTTGAACGGAAATACTGACAATTCTACAACAGACCTAGACAGTGCAAAAACCAACTGCTACCTTTCAGAAGGGTATTTTTAAAACCAGTCTTGGTGGTCTAAAGACAACCATGGACATTTATGAATTGAACTGCGTATGGCCTGTGATTGCAGAAAGAGTTAACCACACACTGTTTTCAGTTTGTCCACTGATGATCCCGTCTGCTATAAAAATCATTATCTGGACTGTAGTCCTCACAGTCTTTCCCTTCTTTTTCTTCTTCCCTCCCCTCATTTTTTATTTTACTGCTGGATTATTATTCTTGTACAGACTGTAAAATGTATTATTTTGTACAACTTTATTGAAAAAAAAATAACTTGTAGAAGATCTTTGTGCCTTGATTATGGCTGTACCTGTACAATGAGCTAAGATGTAAGTATGTTTGATTGCGCTGTACAGCTTTGTCAACCCTATCTGCAGCATTAGCTCAAGGTAGGGAAAATTTATCTGTAGTTTAGTTTTTCTGGTTTATAAAAGAACGAAAAATACTGTTTAGTAAAAAAAAAAAAAGGAAAAAAAGAAAAAAAAAAAAGAAAAAAGTACAAATTGTGCAAACTTAACCACTTTAAAAGTGAGGTCTTCAACAAGTGACCAGATGTTGCAGCATCATGCTTTTTAATTTTTAGCTTTAATTCATTTAAATCTCTATCCAAATGCAAAACATGGCTTGTTTCTACATAAACCAAATTTTGCTACAAATTACAAATGTTAGTCTTTGGTCATTCATAGTCCTTTTTGCTAAAGACAAAACCAGAACAATAACAGACACATAGGGCATCATGCAGGTCTGGTGACCATCTCTAGACTGGGCCAAATACCCCACCAACCTCCACTTAACACTGCGTGGGCAGACTACTACCGGAATGACAAGGTGTGCACTGCCCTTGGATTTGGCCACTGAATTCCAGTTTCAAATGACATTTTTATTTCTCTTTTAATAAAGAGATACTTTAGAACCTTTTTGTTTTATATTAACTATATAAGTAGCTTAAAGTGAAGATGTGTGGATTTTCTTAAACTTGAATAATTTATGCAAATTATATGCTTAGAACAACATGTGGTACAGTAAAAAGAAAAAGAGCAAAAATCACTGTAGCAATAAGAGAGCATGTAATTTTAGTAACTACTACACTGCTTTATATTTTATACCTAGGTGTTTTATGTCTCTGTGAGTGTGTTACTTTTTCATGTGTCTAAACCTACATGTACAATTTGTACAGACTCAGAAATTACAGCTGTAATAACACATCTAGAACAGTGTTAGCCTATATTACTCAAACACCCTTGTTCCCCCTTCATTTACACCCCTAAACTGATCTGGATCTTACTGCAGTAACTTTAAAAGGAAAACAAAAGAAGCAAAACAAAAAAAAAAACCCCACCAAAATACTTGCCTCTTTGCCTTTCACACTAGCTTCCCTCCGCCCAAGAGACTGTGTTAACGTTCTTTTTTGGGAAGAAGTCCAGTTTAAATTAAAAGTAGGGTGTGGTCAGTGATGTCTGTGCAGCTAGATTTGCTTCAGGTATCAGATGCCTTTCGAATACTAAGAACTGCAACTGTTCAGAATTGTGAGTTTTCATTGCTTTTTTGGCTAAACTTTTAAATGACAATGAATCACCTAGTCCATTTTCATGTCGAGCAGGGACTTGGTGGAGTTACTGTCCCATCTCTCTTAATTCCAAATCACTAGTGATCTTTCAGAAGACACTAAATCACCTACAAATTTTAGCTGCGGTTGCTACTCATCTTTGATAAATGATCTTTCCTGTTCACAGGTGTAGAGAGTTGCCACCTGGACTCTGTAGAACTGTAGGAGAACATGACCGAGAATAGCCCCCTGTGATTGAAGAATGTACCCAGTGCCTGTAGGTTAAGGGCTGGTGTTTCCACTAGGTAAAAATGGGACACACATAGTAGAAAGGAAATTCATTGTGAGCCTTAATTTTAGTTACAGGAGCCAAAATCTTTAATTGAGTGCCAACCCTTATCTTTTTACGCCTAGGAGGAGTTAGTGTAAACGCCAAATTTATAAATGGGGAAAACCTGTAGTGGTGTTAGGAATGTAATCTCTCATCTGAGAGAAACAAAGCACCTCCATTAAAAAAAATAAAAATAAATTAAGCTTCTTCATCTGATATTGAGAAGGATGCATAATAACAATGAGCTATATAAGACAGCAACAGTTGTAAGAAACCTAAAGCTTTATATGAACAGAAATGTTTAAGGGATGCTTTTTTTTTTCCTCTTGAGCAAGGAAAAAGGCAATTGTTTTGAATATGGTTGAGTTGCACAACTATGGAGTGTGTGTGTGTCTTAATGTCTCAGTATTGCCTTTGTTAGTCTCTTTATTAGTCCATGCAGTTTGGTGGCCTGGTAAATGCAAGTCTTATTTTTAACAGCTTTCTTTTTTTTTAAATACAAAACCATAAAGCTTTAATGCTTGCTATTTAATAAGTAACTGTGTTTTCTTCTGTCTCTAATTTAGTGGCCATAATTTGCAGTTAATTGAACCATTCCAACCTAATGCTTACCCATATTTCCTAGTTTTGTTTTATTTATTTATTTGAACTTCTTGTTTTAATGATTGAGGACTTTCACTTCTGTCTCATTCATCTGTTTGGAAACTTCTGACCTTACAGCCAAAACTTAACTCATTCTACTCAGTATTCATCATGATGCTGAAGTGTAAGATACCTGCAAATGTAAACACTACCACTTCTATGAATAAAAGCAAATACAGTGGTGTAGGGCACATTTGCATCACTATAGTTGAGGTTGTGTCAGTATTTCCATTATAAACCCATAGAGGGTCTCTATCTTGGCACTAGATTGCCCTACGCTAAATCTCTGCCATACAAGGCTTCAGCTCAAGCATGATTTGATGGGTTGGTTTTTAAACAGTTTCCAGCACAAACTCTCGTTTCTGTTTTAAGTTATACAACTGTTTTGTTGGATGGGGGTTGGTTTAAAAACAAAAACAAAACAAAAACAACAAACGAACCTGGTTCAAGATTGTTTTTTGGCACTTCTGTAACTCAGAAATGGTTTTAATTTCAAAACATAACCTTTGGCAAGCCAGTAACCTACAATATGGTCTGATCACTTTGGGTATTTTGTAAAAATAATAATAAATTGTAGAGATGTTGTGGTTTCAAAATCAGCTACTGTGCATTTGCAGTAACTTCTTTCAACCCAAGAACTTTTGTTAATTTCTACATTAGCACACATATTGAGCAGCCAGTGTGATGCAGCAGCATAGTGATAACTCCTGAAGGGTTGTTGTTTTTTTTAATAATGGGGAGAGATAAATCCACTACAGACTAAAAAAAGATTCAGCTGCTTCTGAAAGCATCAAAAACTGCTCTGTTAGAGGCTGAAACTGGAGCTCTGCAAGTTGTTAGGAGCAGACTTTGATGCAAAAGGATTTGAAAGCATGCTGGATCAGTTGTCATAGACAGGAGCCCTGGGGGCTTATCTTCATTTATCTAAAAAGTATTTTGAATCATGGCATCGAGGATAGGATTTAAATTTGAGTATGTCATTAACTCTAGAGGAACTGAAGCAAATTCTGTTCCAGTATGTTGCACATAACTGATAACTGCAGGATAATTTTCTTTTACCAATAAATCTATGCACAGAAATATTAATGTTCATCACTTTAGAATCTGAGCACCTTGTAATGAGTTGTGGTGCAATATTCCTGTAAATTATGTAGGATGTTTTGTATTATATCCTATTTTCCAATGTTGAAAGTTATCTACCAGGAAAAACAAAAGATATAAACATGATTACACAGGCAGTTGACCACAGATACGGAGACAGACCCCATGGTATCTGAGTACGAGTCCAGTGCCTTAGTGTTAATACTGTTGGCGATGGGTGCTATACAAATGTCTAAGATGGACAAAGTTGTTGTAAGTTATAAAATTATGTGACCTGTTCTGGAAGAGAGGAAGTTCTCTTCTTTTCCCAACTGTGTCTAATATGCTGTGTGTATTTCTAACAATGCTGGCACTCATAACACCTCTTCCATGGAAGTCGGTGATAAAATTCCTACTAACTGTAAGAAGCAGGATCAGGGCCATAGATTGCTATCAGTGGAAATCTCACACAGGAACGGGTCCTCATCCCTAAAATATGTGTTGAATTTGTGTAACAGTAAAAATATTTACAAGCAAACATCTGTTTGCAGTCCAAAACCAAAACTGTACCCTTCTTCCTCAGCTTGATATTTCTGAAAATTCATCCAGTGGGGAAAAAGTCGTTCTGTTCTATGACAAACTTTGGTGTCTTTGTAAATAAAGTAACTACAAAGGGGATTTCAGAACCTCTGCCGATGAAAAGATCCCTCTGGTGACTGACAAGATAGAAATTCCAAGAGTGAACCTATTTTAATCCTAGTCATAACCAGTTAGCTTAAATACTGTGAGTGGATGTGTTTCAGTGAGTAGGTAGGTAAACTGCTTTGGAGTATTTTACTATATTGCAGAAATTGCTAAAGTTTCAGCCGTGAGTACTGGCTTCATCATTAATCGTTTACAACCCTGATTCTAATCTTACTAAAACTGTTTTTTTTACCCTGTTTACATCTAATGTACCGAGCTGAGCAAAATAGGTGCAGTTTAAAGCACAAGTCTACTTGGAAAAGCAACTTGGGGAGGAGGTGGGGAGGCAAACTCATCTCTTACTGCATTAAGCATAAAAATAATAAGGTGGGTGGTTTTTTTTTTTCTAACTTCTGTGTCCTACCTATAAACTTAGCCAGATTCTGTGGAAAAGCAGGGAGTTGTTCTCTAGGTTAACAACAGCAAATGCTCACTGATACCTCTGCAGCAAGGGGTAACTGACCAAATATGGAACTGATAATTTTTGCTTTAAGAAAAACAAAACAACAAACCAGAATTTACAGTTTTTCATAATTTTTTTCACGTAGGAAGTCTGCCTCAAAAATCTTTATTTTAATGACAGAACAAAATAAAGCCTTTAAGCATTGTCCCAAATACAGAGAGAACGATAAATTTTTGAGGGAGAAGATGCCGACGTTAGGGTTTTTCATGTAACAACATGCTTTCTAAGGCTGGGGTACCAGTGGGCAAATGTAAGCAAATTCTAAATTAAAATGTGAATGTATCTCTTCCTTTCATTTACCTGGTTGTTTTCTTAAATGAGTTTACCGATACTTTTTTTTTCTTGATATACTACTACTCAAGGTTGGAGAAGGAACAAGCTTAGGACAGAGGTAGTAATGTTGGGAACTCAGTTCTGTTGTTCTGTTATGCAAACTAGTATTTTCAGGCTGTGAATTTTACATTAATTATTAATAGTGAAGTACAGTGTTTCTACTTGTAGTTTTCAGTATTTGACATGACTCTGGAATGGTATCATTCTTGCAACTAAAATGCTAGAGTGCCAGCAGAGATGGGGCAGAGGAGGAGCTGCTGTGTCAGGGTTGTGAGTTACCGCAGCAGGCTGGGGACTGAAGGCTGCTTGGGAAGGGGGCCTGGTGTAGCTCTTTGTCACGACGTTACCAGTTTGCTGTTGGCAGGGTCAGAAGAGCTTCCATAAAAGGACAAATGAAGGGGTTGGGTGATAGAACTAAATACATGTCTGTGTAAGACCTCCAAGTATTAATGCAAGGTGTTTTAAACTTTCACTAAGCTAGAGCCATAGGAGACAGCATGTCTTTCCTGAAGTGTGTGTGGCGATCCATATGTACCTCAGGATTTTTAATATCCCTTCTCCTTTTGCTTGAAGGCACAACATCCAAAATGAAGTAACAGATTTCATGAAAGCTTTGCTGCTAACCTTTAGTTCTGTTTCCCACAGGGCAAAACTCTGCTGGGCTGCTAAGGTTCATCTGTGTAAGAGTCTGGAAGCCCAGTGCTGCCACAAGCAATGACTCTTGTTAACCTGTTTGTGATTTAAAACTGGGGAGCTTACAACCAAATGCTCTGTCCAACATCATGGCCCAAAAACTGCTACCTTTGGATTCAGCTGCTTTCTCCTGTCCTCACCCCCACACCCCACCTACTCTTACAGCGTGGCTGATAAGAGAGAATAGAGCAGCTATGAAAGAAAATTGTGATAGAACCTCACTGAAAGTTCAAAGGAACTAGGGAAAGCCAGATAAACAAGACTCCTAAATTCATCACCTTGAACACTGAAAAATAGATTTATGGGGGAAATTCTTCATTCCCCAGGTAAGTGACCCAGTTTGGGATCCTTACACAAATTTTCAGGGTC